TTAGAGCAGCAGTTCATAGGCTTCAGTACCCATCATTTGATACTCAACTTTTGCACTTGATTTGAAAACTGTTTGCTTCTTTTCCATGATATTATATTTCCTCCAAAGTAAACAGTGTCATGGCCAAAATAGAGCTTTTAAATAAGATAAATTTGCTTCCCAACTGGCATCTATATAAGCACAAATTTACACATGCTTGCTATCTTTGTTTAGTTAACATTTTTGTAAATGCTCTTCGAACGTATCTATGTCTTTGAACAACAATATCACGGTTAGAGTCACACGTAGAATCAAGGAATTTACTGACTGCACTCACGAGCATTACTAAGGAGATATTTAATCTCGTTATCATGATAGATAGTTAGGTAGATAGATAGATAGATAGATAGATGGATATGTAGATGTAACAAACCCCAGCTAGTGCGTAAAAGCTTTTGTTTTGGTGGTTGTTATAATGGGACATTTCAACTTTCAAAGTAACCTCCAAGAATGTCCTATATTTAGTTCTTGTCGGTTTCACCAAGATGATTATTTCAGACCATATAATGTTTTCTACTGCTTGCACCCCAACCCAAATCCCACCTAGCAATAAATCCAGGTAGTTAATCCATGTAAACTTGTAAATTACCATTGGAGAGGACTTTCTTTATGTCCCGATTGTATTGAGGCCAATGTTTAATGACAGCCATGGCTAGGAAGAGCCAAACAGCGGGCTCAAGAAAATATATTATTCAAGCAAAAGATTTTAGTGTAATATTTGGTCCCTAAACGAGGCTTTAATAAGTGAATAGAGTCACATGGACCAACTTCAATTGTAAATACCCATAGGCAACAATGAGATATTTTCCCACTGGCTTAAGGACTATATTTCACGTGACTTTAGTTTGCAAGGCCCCATTATTAAACATTTATTTGATATTCTTTTCAATTTCAGTATGCTATATCTGATATTCAAGTGTTATGCTAGTATCTTTTTATGGAATTTAAAATCTTTATGTAATATGTACTTATTTTTATGTTATATTTTTCTTGCATATTAAACGGTAGTGTGCTAGGGCTGTCTTCTTTTATCTCATTTTTTATCTGTTGTTTCATAATATAAATTACATTGATGCCTCTTGTAGAGATATTGTGGTCAAAAGTCAACCGGTGCTGTTTTTGTTTCTTCTTTATCCTGGAAATGTTTTCTGTAATTAAGTTGTGCTCATTAAGCTTCATAAGTAAACAAACATTGTCATTTAGTACATACATCATTATATCTGTAGGTTTTGTGCATGCATATATGTATGTGTGTGTACATACACATGTATGTATGTATGTATGTAAATTTATGTTGTTTTGAAGACAAATTATTTGTTGAAATTGTGTGTTGTCTTGTTTGTGCAGAGTATCAAGGCTAGGACATATCTCACAAGAACCAAGCCCCTTAATCGCGTTCCGTAACTTTGAACAGGAAACAAGACCTCCAGGGGTTTGGGAGCCAGAGCAAGGTGCAGCCTCTACAGCAGAGAGTCCCCGCGACAATCTTGCTTCTCTTTATCGCCCTCCTTTTCATCTTATGTTCAATGGTTCTTTTGATAAGGTAAATATATTACACACAGTAGCATTAAAATATATGCTTGGATTCCACTTGATGACATTGTAAATGCCAATTGTGAAAATAGATAGTAACCATAGGATGATTATGGGAGGAAACATGAAAGCAATCGCGTGGGAGAAAAAATAGCTCAATTTTATTCTTGTTATATAAACAATAGCTCAATTTTTTCTTTTTCATGTGCAGAAAAAATTACAAGCTGCAATTAAGGATTCTGTGTCTGAAAATGAGGCATTTCAGAAAGTATTTGGAAAAGAAAAGCATGGATATGTTCGTAGTATGGGACTTGGAGTTACACCATCTCAAATTAATAGATCTACGAGATCGACATCTTCTTCTGCAGAAAGTGAACAAATAAAGGAAATGCAAGAAGAAATTAATGCACTTAAAGAAAAGAATTCAAAAATTGATGAATTAACACAGGCAATCATATTCTTAACGCAAAAGGACAAGGCGAGGACAAAGGAAATTGAACTCTTAATGCAAATGCAGAATTTTAGTGGAAGACAGGTATATTATTTTGACGCATTTAAAGTTAAATTTTATGAGTATTATTTTAAAGATTATTATTTTAATACCTTTTTTTAGGGATTGGAATCACCCGCTGATGGTACACGTTCATCTAAGTCTAGCTACCGTATTGGAGATAATGGAACTTCAGGGGGGACAAATTAGACTTTGCTATGATCGAGATAATTAGATTGTGAACTTTCTCATGTATTTTTGGCATAATGATACTTATTATTATAAGATTAGGAATTGATATATTTTGGGTTTTTTGTACTACTTGACATGATTATGGAACTCGCATTTTACATGATTATGGAACACACATTTTTTTGGATATTATAATGCTTATTTGATTTTAAATATTTTTTATTGAAATTATTTTTACTATATTACAAAGTGATAGAAAATAAAACAAAAAATAATACTATAAATAAATATATTAAAGAAGAAATAATTTAAAGAAAAAAATAACACAAAAAAACTATATTTAAAATTTTTTACATAGATAATAATTTAAATAAAAAATATATATAATAGAAAAATAAAAAAAAAATCAAGACATAAACAAAAGTCATGGCGACAGTACCGAACCGTCGTAATCAACAATTAAAAATAATCAACAAAAGTCATGACGGTATCGAACCGTCGCCATAAACAATTTAATCAATTTCAAAAGATATTCACGACAGTATCGAACCGTCGCCATAAACAATTTAATCAATTTCAAAAGATATTCACGACAGTATCGAACCGTCGCCATCAATAATTAAAAGAAACTCAAAAGATAATCACGACGGTATCAACCCGTCGTAAACTTGAACGACAGTTTTTGTAACCGTCGCGAAATAGGTTGGGGACACACACTTCTGCGACGGTAAAGCAACCGTCGTGGAAAGCAAATTGCGACGGTTTTAACCGTCGTAATCTACAAAAATACCTGTCACAATCTACCAATTTTCTTGTAGTGGTTCTCCAGTAGATGAGGTTTCATCTTAGAACCCTGAGCTCGCCCGTAGGCCTAGTTCTCCCTATAGATCTTGTTTTAGAATTATGAGGTTGCCCTTAGGCCTAGTTCTTCAGCAGATCTCCCATAGGTATCTCCTTAGAATTCTGAGGTCGCCCATAGGCCTAGTTCTCTGACAGATCACCCTTATGTTTCACCTTAGGATCGTAGGTCGTCCATAGATCTTATACGTCGTCTTTTCGTACCAACTTTTGTCTTGTAGTGGCATCACGCCACGTTACAAGTCCAATCTCCGTCTTGTATTGGCATCACACCACGTTACGAGTCCAATCTCCGTCTCCTCACTAAAAAACAGAAAATTTTGTTCCTCGGCAGATATCACAAAAATAAATGAACACTCACGCTTTCTTTCAGAACAAATTTTTGGCATTGGTATTTAATCATCTTCTACCTTGAACTTCCGAAAGGCACGCACCAATCGTACTTTCAGGTTTAAGACGATTAAATAGGGGCAGCTGTAATACCCCAAATTTTTCCTACCTTTTCATCAAATCATATGGCTTATGCATTTTGCACTTCTCACCTCATGTACATACCTTTCATTAGTTCATCTAATATTACATGCATCACTAATCAATTAACTTGGCATAGGGATCAAATATATTGAGGAACTAGGGTTTCTCTATGCTTAAGGCTTTCACTTAACTCAGGCTTGAATTAATTGGTTCCTTTATCAATCATGGTTTATGGAACTAGGGATTTTGTGTTTATAATCACTAAGAACTTCTTTTGCATCAAGCTACAAGGTTATCTTCACCAAGGGTGAAATCTTCAGGGTTTTATCAAGAGTTTCTTTTGAGGTTGCTTTAAGCAAAGGTTTTGTTCCTCTTAAATATCTCAATATCATTTTCTTCATCAAATTACATCTCAAGGGGGACTAGGTTTATATCTCACCATAATTGAGTTTGTTAATTGAGGTTCATTAGGGGTGTGCTGCTATGATCCAAATATAATATTCAAAGTCATGGCATTACTATTATGATGGATTGAATGCAAGGCATGACACAAGAGACGAGGTTGTGGATTCATATTGTGATCAAAACAATTTTGATGCTTCGATTGCAAGTTATCTTAGATTGTGGGAATGAAATCTAGGGTTTCGTTGAGAAGTGGAGGTCGGATTCAGATGCATTAATAATTTAAAGTCTAGTTGATTCAATTTAGCAAAATTTACTTAAGGCTTGCAAAGGTGGAAAGAAATGTAGTGAGAAAGACTTGGAATTTCGAGTACAAATTTGGAAGAATAAGGATGATTTAGAGATATCATTGAACTTTAAAAGTCAAGTTACAAGAAAAGTGTAAGTAATCCATTCATGGTGCAAGCCACAAACGGCTAGGCATATTCATTCATTCATTTACTGCTCAATTCATTCAAGATTTGAAGTCGAGCATTACCTTCAATAAAAATCATATTACTTCAAGTGTTACAAACCATCAACAATTTTCAAGTCGTCATGATCATTCATGAACATTCAAGGTTCATTCAAATTTCCACCAAATATTAAAAAATAGATTCAATAGTCATCAAGATTCAAGCAATTTCATCATACAAGCCAAGTACATCCCTTATTCTATCACAACATCACCATCACAAAGTTTCCAAAAGTCATGGCCATTTACACCATAAATCATTTCAAGTATTTCCCAAGGTTACATTCCTATCATACCTCAATACATCAAAAAAATTACAAGAAAGCATTAAATCTGAACCTAGGTGCCTAAGTCTTCCATCTTCATGACCAAGCTTCATCTTCAATCTTATTCAAGCCATGACCCTAGTTCAACCTTGCTTCATCAATTATCTTCATTTCAAACTTCATGTCCATGCCTTCTTCTTCGTGTTATTTCTCTTCAAACTCTTTTCCGACTTCAATCATCCATACCTTCAAAACTGCTCCAATTTGCCTTGGTACCAACTTGTACAACCAATGCCATAACTTTCTCATTCACCTATACAAACCAAGCACCAATACATACATACTGTCTACAAGCCTGTAGACCATTCAAAATCTACAACAAACAGCCCCACATTCGCATAAATCGACACTATATCCACAAATCAGTCCTTGTACTAACTGATAGCCCTGCATTAATTCAAAGAAAAAATCATAAAATATACTAGCAGTTGACAGTTACATAAGGCAATTCTGATTTGAAAATAAGCCGCAGCCCTGTTCATGACATAAATTAGCAAATCAGAAAGTTGGGGAAGCACAGAAGAATAATAATATTGGACCAGAAATTGAATCAGAATAAAAACCGTGAAAACAGAAAAATATTCAGATAGTATTTCATAACAAACTCTAAACATTCCCTAACCAATTCCTCACTATCCTAACTGTTTCATAACAACCTTCCTAACTGACATAATTTTCTAACAGTTTTCCAATCTCTTCCTAACTAACTGTCGTAACAGAAAACTCCTACCTTAAACCAGATAACTAACCCCTAATAGTCGAACTAACCTCACTAACCATAACAGAATTCCTGGCTCAGCAACTAACCATACAACATAACAGAATGTCAACAGATTCCTAACAAACCCCTATAATAGGAAAACTTCCTAACAGAAAACAGAATCTGAAAACTTCTAACCAATTTCCCAATAGAATATAACAGAAGATAACATAGAGGGAGAGGGCTCATAGAAAAAGCTTCAAAAGAAAAACTCACTGCTAAATTATTCTTTGTTTCTCCCTCTGCTTCAACCTTCAACAATTTGCAGCATCTTCTTCAATCTTCAAGCATCAATTCTCTGTGTTCACCTTTAAATTTCTCTATGCACAACGACTTCAATCAAGTCATCTTTAGCGTATTCTCATCAACACCCTGCACCGCTTCCGCAATAAGTTCATACGATTTCCGCAACAGCTTCAAATTTTCATCACCGCTTCTGCAACGCCCAAGAACAAGCAAACAACATCATCACGATTCAATCGTCAATCATCATCACATCACACAACAAATTTCAGATTGCATAACATCACAGCAATCGTAGAAGTGGATCGAAAAGCAAAGAAAGAAAGGGCTAGAAGTATAAGAATGCACAAGATGCAGAGAAGAGAACAGATGAAGTAGAAAGAAGAGAACAAGGAAAACTCACCTTCGCCGAGATGTCGTATCTTCATCGTCGAAGTGAAATTTAAAGAGCTCTGTGAGAAATCAAACAAAGCAAAGTGCGGATTCAGAGAGAGGGCGAGATTACAGAGGAATTGGTGTCGATTTTTCTTTGATCCGCACTTCCCGGTATGGGGAAGTTCAATCGCTTATAAGGTGAACGGGATAAGAGGGAGAGACGCGAGAAGGCAATGTTTATGGCTTTGGTTCAATGGTGATACGGTGGGGGAACGAAGGTGAGACAAAATAAGGAGTGTGGATAAGAAGAGGTCGATCAGAGTGAAACGACAATGATTGTCTTGCGGCGCGACTGGAATTTGAGAGAGAAGAGGAACGATTCATGTTGCAGAAAGATGAATTGTCTCAAATCTTACCCTAAACACTCAATTACTGTTTTCTTTTCAATTTATTATTTTTATTCAATATTAAAGCTGATTATTGATTGAATTAAGATGATAATAATGTTAAAAGCAGGTGTGGATTAGGGACTATGTTTCGTTGGGCTTCGATGTTCAACTCAGGCCCGTCGAGATTTTTGGGAAACTAGTATATCTTGCACAAAAAGATGGTTCTGGGTCAACCACCCTCCCTCTTGGCCCATTTCTGTGTTGTTTTTGAAGCCTCACAGCAATATACAAAATAGTGGTGGACCAAATTTGATGGGCTTCGCACTAATTCCTTTCAATACTCCCTGTGTCAAATTCACATCCCTTGACTTTTCTAACTTCTTTTTTATTTTTTAGTTTTTCTTCTAGTTTAATTTTTTTCTTAATTGATAATAAAAATGATGCAAAAATAATAGAACATTTTAGAATTCTTTGGAACCTTTCTTTAGAATTTTCATTAGAGTTTTCTATTATTTTCGTATTTGATAATCATTTTCGTTGTCATTTTTAGCTAAGATTTTGTGATAAAATGTTGATGCAACTTTTGCAATGTGGAATGCTTGGAGGCTAATTAGTTTGATCACTTGTGTGAAGCGGCTTCTGTAGAGTTTTCTTATCGCTTGCGTGATTTTGAAGAGGCAACGGACCTTCTCCGTTCGGTATCATCGTGACCTTATTTTACTCCTCATTTCCGCACTTTATCATACTTCTTTACAACTTTTCTAGAGATCATGAGAAGTAGGGCTTTACTGCTTTCTGATGCCATGAGTAGTAGGATACAGATGTATGATGGGATCTCTGATGTTGATTATGTCAGGAACCCCTCTAGTTTATTTGAAGACCCGTTTAGGGCAATTTCGCATTGTATGCATTATGTTTGCTATTTGTGGTTGTTTAAAATCCTACCTTTGAAGTAGGTATTCTGCATGTGTGTTTATATTTGTGCCCAAATATGTTACAGATGATAAGTCCTCAAAAAGAGGCGAGCGGGGAGGGTTCACAATCAACTCCCGCAATTTCGTATGTGTCATCCTTAGCTCGTGATGCACCATAATGCTTCGGAGTTATGCCTGCTTTTGTGTATCAAGTCGTCAAGTGGGGAAGAGTTCCGCAACCGAACCCCCACACTTTGTCAGAAGTTTGTATTGGCTGATGTTGACACTCTGTTATCGTTCATATTATCTTTTGTCGTCTACCTCGATCTCCTATATCTTGGTTAGGTGTTCAATCGCTTTGGACATCACATTTTTGTTTTACATCATATTCCCGCTTGTTTGTCTCGAGTGATACGCTCCCCTTGGATAAAGCATTTTGATTATTTTCCTTACCATTTTATGTGTGTGCTCTTTCGAGCTTGTTTGTTTACTCGCCTTATACATACTATGTTCCCTTAGGATTTTCTTGCTCCTTTTGGATGCAAGTTAGACCTTAGGTTGCAAACTGTGCGTGCTAACATTAGGTAGATGTTTCTCTTATGTTAAACCAAACCTTAGGACTACCATTTTATGATAACATCGGGATTAGAAATAGGCTAGTCTCCCTTAGTTGTTTTCTCCCTTTTGCATATGCATTTAAAACTAAAACTTTCTTTTTCTTAAGCAAATCAAAAACACTTTAATCACACTTAAACCCTTTTTCAAGGTAGCAACATATAAATCAATCAAATGTGGTATGTTGCCTTGAGGGCCTAACTTAAAACTATTTTCAGGTAAGGACATGTTGATTTACTTCTGCACCAACGCGTGAGTCTCCAAAGGTCGAGCTGCGGCAGAAGGCGAAATTAACATTGTTCATAAAAAACACAAACAAACAAAAACATGTGAGCCGAACTATGATAACTTTGATTCCTCAAAAAGGATACGTGGGTATTAGAGTAGGGCCCAAGCGAGCACAACTTTATTTTCCCTACAATATTTTCTCCTTTCTTTTGCATGTATTCTTCCTCAGTAGTAAACAGTAAGCATAGATTAAACACACCTATAAGATAGACAACAAGAGTGGATACCGTAGAGTACTACAGGCGTGTGGGGTGCTAATACCTTCTCCTCGCGTAATAGACTCCCTTACCCGATCTCTCGGTTGCAAGACCGTGACTTCTCCCTTCTCGAGTTTTCTCGATGTTTACCTTTCCCTTCATGTGAGATAAAAGACGTTCGATGGCGATTTCATTGTTTGATGATTTTCAGTCGGTTATTTCACTCTTCATAGTGTTGCCAATGGGAACATCATCATCTTCATCAGATTGATCTACTTTCACTCTCCTATTATTTTGAACCTCAACCTCTACATTTTGATAGTTTTCATCATCTGAAGAGTCTTCAGTGGACACATAGTTATCATTGACAATATCATCAAAAGACTTATCAATGAAGGGTGTATCAATAGGATGACCATCAACCATGACATGTTTGTCACTAGGATTTACTTTAACGCGTAGTTCATTAATGGATTTAGGAGGTTCACCAACTGGCACAAAAGTGGGTTCAACATGTGAATCGACATGTGACTCAACATGTAGTTCCACGTATGGTTCCTCAACAATGATATCATAATATTTAATTATCAAAATAGTAATAATTTTTATGATGTTCCTTTTTTTATCAATTTTATTTTTTAATGCAAAATTTTATTGATTTTTATTTCTTTTTTTTTTGTTCTTTTTTTTCTAATTTTCTTCTCTACAATTTTATTTTTCTTCTCTTTTTAATTAGTTAAGTTTTGAACATAATATCTTTAAAATCTTAAATATTACATTCAACATATACTTAAAGATAAATTATTTTTATAATAAATCTCTTAAGCATTCAAGAGTTAATTCAACACAAAGGAGAAGGAAAGAAGAACAAAGATATAATAGACACTCAAACTTCAGCGCATATCTAACGCAAATCTTAGTTATTATCTTTTCTCTTAAACTAATTTATTGTTGATTGGGCCATATGACATATGTTGAATTGCTATTGTCATAATTTCTTTAAAAAAAATTATTGTTGTTTTGGCCATTTAACATATATAAATTTTGGCCAAAGAGTATGTTATTTTATTTAATGGTCTATCTCTTTTGTTCTCAAAACAATTTTTTATTAGATATGCTGAATAGAATAGATAAAAAGAAAATTAAGATAAAAGTAACAAAAATAGAGAAAAAAAATAAGTATCAATGTACATTTTCTTTTGAAAAAAAATTAATAAAAATAATAAAGAACATCATAAAAATCATTACTATTTCAAAAATTTATGAAAATAATTTGTTTTTCATTTTGCATCATCATGACATTCTCGACTCATTGTTTTTTGCATTGTCAGATTTTTCGTCACATCAATCACTTTATTTTTGAGGTGTGCTAACAATTAAGGATGGAAATGGATATCAATAAGAATGTGTAGAATGATATTCGTATTCACTCTGTTGAATAAATATAATATTTATATCCGTGTGATATATGTTAAATAGGTAATTTACGGAAGGTATCCACAAATATTTACAGATATTTATAGATAACACTATTTTTTTAAAATTATATTTTAAAAAAAATATACTCAACTTCTTTTAAAAAACAAGACTTCATTATCACAATAACAATAAGATTTGTACGGAATATAAAAAATTTCTTCAAATAAAACTTTAAAAAAAAAAAGAGGAAATTAATTTTTTAGTTTTTTAGAAGATGAAAAAATAAAGTATAATAAATTAATAATATTAAGTAATTTTTATTATTTATTAACAAATACGGATATTCACATGCACGGGTAACATAAACCTCGTATCAATATTCATTAACAAACAGATATTTAAATATCTATTTATTTTATCTGTAGATATCTATTAAACTATTCATCATGTATCTATGATTGATTTTATCCACAAATATCTGTAGGTATGGATATTCTTGTCATCTCTACTAACAACACTCTATTTTCAATATTTTCTCAAACACTCACTTTCTAATTGATTAAAATATGTGCGGGTCTCTCACTTTAGAAATAGGTCTCACATAAAATGGTAGAACAAGTATTCGAGAGAGTGTTAAAAAAAGTGTTCTTAACATTTGTCTTATTTTTTATGCAACATTTATGGTGGTTTTAATTTTTTAAATGCCGCATAAATGAAGATTAATTGATATATCAGTGGGGAACTATTGATATAAAATGGGGCAAATTTGAGGGGTCAAAGTCAAACAATTAAATCTTGAAGAATCAAAATTAAATAATTGAAAAACTTGAGGGGGTCAAAACTTATTTAAATCAAAGAAGTATGAAACATCATCGTAAAGATATAAGATGTTTTAGTAGAATATGTGTTAGTTTGGTTTTGTCGTGAGAAGAATTGATTATGAATAAATTGATTTTATCGAATTGATTTTAGTTAAAAGTGAGTTGGATGTAAAATAATTTATATTTAAATACATTTATGTAAAAGTGAGTTGAACAACAAATTTTAGTATAAAAATCACGTTTAAACTCAAAAACTAAAAATTATAGATTCAAGTAGAATCATTTCTGAAGATCAAATTAATTCTATTTTAAAAAAATCAAACACTTCTAAATCATATCAAAATCAATTCTACTCCTCAAAATTATTTTTGTCTTTTGTAAAAGGTAAACCAAACATACAATAAGGATATGTTTGAATCGGCGATAAATAGAATTAATTCTAACATAATTGAATTTGTTATAATTGATTTTATCAGAATAGAATTTAGTAAAAATGATTTATGTTTAAATATATTTATGTTAAAGTGAGTTGAACAATTATAAAAATTATCCATAATTAATTTTGGAGACAGAAATTACGAATTCAAATTTTAAATAAAATTAATTTTGAAAACAGAATCAATTCAATTTTTGTCTAATCAAACGTATCAAAATCACTCGGAATGAATTCTAAATCTTTAAAATCATTTTTGACCCTTCCAAAAGACAAATTAAACGTACACTAAACATATCTTACAAAAACGCTATTATAGTGAACAGTGAAGACTAAATTATGTCCATTTTCTAAATGACTACTACTACTGTATAATATTAAAAATTGATTATCACGGAATATTAGTTGGATGCACACTGCATAAGTTACTTGCACGACTCTAGGACACGTGACATCAAAGATAAATGTAACTTATGCGTAGATCAAATACAAAGTGCACAACTAAACAACTAATTTTGTTGTTGTTGGAAGAAAACCTGGCTCACCAAATTTGGAGGATAATGGATAAGAAAATTAAGTACCTGTTCATTTTACCGTTTCCTATTTCATTTTCGAAATAGATTGAGTATTTATAAAAATTAACATTTTCGAAATATTATTCTCTTTCTCCCCGTTAAGCAGTTCTAGATCTGTAACAATATTAGATACATGATTTGGAGTTCGAACCCGTAATATTTAACTTATTCATTAGTCAACCAAAAATAATACATTCACTCTAATTAACTTTCGTACTCTCTCTCTCTCTGTAACAATTTTAAATCTTTTTATTAAATATCATTCCAACTATTCACACAAATTATAAATGAAAAAGCTATTATAGAGTAGTAAATGAACCCTAAACACTTAAAAATCCCACGTGTAGTTGTGGCAGAAAAACTTGTATGCGCTGGTAGATACATCAAAATATACATGGATGAGATTCATTACAAATAACTTTAAAATATACTTTTGTTCCAGCTTTTTTTTTAAATGATTTTTTATAGTATTTCATATTTTTATGTAAAAAAAATCTTAAATAACTTTTTTTTAAAAATTATAAATAATTTTTTATAATATTTAAATAAAAATTTAATTTAAATAATTATTATTAAAATGTTAATTTAAGTATTTTATTGAATTTTTTTTAAATAAATCATAAAATTATTTTTAAAATATAACTATTTTTTGAAATTGCGATTTCGACTATTTTTTACATTCAATAATGATCTAACCTAATCAGAGTTGGACCGTCACAGCTGGCTTCGAGCAGAGCTTGAATGAGATGGAGGGTACCTGCAAGACACTGTGATGGTAAAGTGAGAAGCGGAGTGAGCAAGCAAGTATGAGTTTAGGTGTGAATGAATGAATATCTGACCCTCTCATGAGAGAGGGTATTTATAACCCCCAACACTGGGCCAAGGTCCCCACTATTGGGCCACGCAGAGGCCCAATAACGGGAACTGTCAGGGTTTACGTGAGTATGGAGTCTAGCAAGTGGACTCCCTCCTGGTCAACTGCTCCGCGAGAATAGGACTGGACTCGAGATTCCCGGAGGACAGTTTGATATGTCTGTTGAGAAGTGGTGGGCCACGTCCCCCAACGGTTGAACGGAGAGGTGCCCCACAATCCCTAACTAGGGCTGTCTTTGGGCCTTTCGCTCGTAGAGCAGGCCAAGCCTACCGGTCGGGGTAGTGGTTCCCCCTCCTCCTCGAAAAATCCAGCTTCTTCTGATCCGGCTCAGATTCCAGTTAACGAGTCTGTGGCCAAGTGGAAGCGCGCAGATAGCACTGCGGGCGTACCGTTTGAGGGTGACAAAACATCCACGGGGGTTTTCGTGCTTCCTCCGTGCTATCTAAACCGCGACCTCTTCCGCGATGGGTACTCCCTCGGCCTTCACGAGGAGGAGAGAGAGGCCATTTTGACTGAAGACAAGGAGCTTCGCCGGTAGCACTTGGCTGAGGACGTGGCTGCTGTGATGAGGGTGCTCGAGACAGCCCTCTCGCTTAACGACGAGTCCTCGAGCGCTCAATTCGCTCTCGACGCGGCCTACGCCAAAATCCATAAGATGAAGGTCAAGAATGAGAAGTTGAAGGGCGACATCCTCAACCATGAGTCAAAATATGAGGCCCAAGTCTAGCTTCTCAAGGATTTAAACGAGCTGAGGCCTCAGGTAGAGACGGCCATAAGGGAGAACGAGCGTCTGGTCGCTCGTAATTTGGAGCTGGAAGGGATGACTACGTCGATCGAGAACGAGACCAAGACGGAGAAGAACATGGCGACCCGGGCGAATTTGATTGCTCGCATCCGCTTGCTCGAGCAGGACGTGATTGATACTCTTGGATACGGCTTCAACATCACCGTCGAGCAATTCAAGATCTCGAATCCCTGGGTCGAGTTAGTGGTTAAGGGGGCAGAGCCATTCAACCAAGTCGTTGACGGGAAGATACTCTATCCCCCAGAGGACAGCGACGGGGAGGATCAAGTTTGAATGTATTCATTTCAGGGCCTGCGTGTCCGTTGTTGTTTTAGGGCCTGCGTGACTGCTATTATTCTTTTGATTTTGAGGCCGTCGTGCCTAAGATATAAATTTGAACAACATCGGCCCATGTGGTCGGCATATTTATAATTGCGTTATTTATTTATTTCTTTGATTATTTATAACTTTTTGGATGTACGTTCCCGACCATTGTTGTGGTCGTTATGAATATTTTCAC